ACCCTCTGCGAAGCACAACCATGTTAAGGGACCAGTCCGCCGCGATCTGTTGCGACACACACGTCGCGCTCGTGTAGTCGCAGCACACCAACGTGTAACGGTCACGGCCGTTAGTTTTTAACACTTGTAAAACGCCTTTGAAAAGTTAGCGGGAGGTCGATGACCGTTTTTCTTTGCGATTATTGGTGCACACACACACACACACGCATGCATAAAGCATGCAAACATGGCAAATTATTATAGTACGTATGTGTGCACAGAATCGTGAGGGACAGCGAGGAAGGCCGAAAAGAAAGAGAATATATACCACACCGCACTATGAACCTTAATGTGTGTACAATAACGGTAGCGACAAAAGGGGAATACACTCTGTAAGGCAACCCTTTTTCTGGCGACCAACTGCGACTTGAAGTTTTTACAAAACACACCTGTCCACGGACACGGGGGGAACATATCGAGTTAGCGACGTTGACGAATACTCTCAATACCCAAAGAAGGGGACCCGCGTATAATATCATTGTTTTCTTCTATGTAGTCACCCGTTACGTCGCCGTAATTGCATCTCTCGGCATCATTTCGAATTTGAATAAACGCCACTGTTTGATAATAGCCCAATGGTCCACTACGTTAAACGCGGGTAACTTGCACGCTGCGGTTCGAGAAAAACGTTCGAAATGTATAATAACTGTAACGTCGGACAAAAGAATAATTAGTTCTTTTCTTCTCCGGGCGAATTGTTGTTGAAATTAAAGGCTTCCGATGATTTCTTCATACCAATGGACTAAACGTTCATGAAGGACTCTTAGGAATGCGACCATGTACGTTAAACGATAGAAATCGTTTGAAAACACCGATAAATTAAGTGTACCAATCCGAGGCCGTACAAATCAATAGCCAAACGTACGGGCGACCTGTAATTGAACATGTCAACTGGAGACGAACGCGATTTTTTACAGGTAACGATCATTGGGCGACTGAGCAGCATTTTTTGTCTATACAGTACTGATGCGTCCAATGGTCGACAGATAATGTAGTATTTATTTACACCCTAATTACGCCGCTCAGGGCTACTAACTGTTCATCAGTTGTTTAAACTATATATTATTATAATGCGCATAGCTTCGGTTTTATAACCAGTTTTCCTTTCCAATGTTATCTGTACCAACACATGACGACGCCACGCTTTGGATTTACCAGGAAGTTTCGCATACTCGTATAGAATTTACGTGCTCGAAATGGTTTTAATACGACAACGCTTGCGTGTGTCTAATAAATGCTTATTATTTTTTTTTTTTTTTTGGTTAACGAATTTTTACAGATAAATGTTCGTCGTGTCTCTAAGCCGGAACTATTAGAAAAACAATAATTACAATAACTGGGCTTCCGTTTATCAGCGCCCACAGATCGTTAATCTGTGATATTTCATTGCCGTTCTTTTATATCAACGAATCGCTCGGATTTTAATCGTTTGGACCCGTGTTTTTTAACTGTGGGAACAGCAGTGAATAATCAATATACACCCTGGACGCGAGTAGCCCACGCGTTGTCTGATAGTATCCCGAGTTTATCTATTAGTGCGTTGGCCGAATCAAATTAGTCAGATGGCGATTTTCCTATGAAAACAAATCTTGTTGTGCATGTTACACGTGTGCTATGACAATCCGTCGAACGCTTTGCAGCACAGCACGCGCCCTCGTAGAACGAGTTATGGCGATTATATGTTATATAATATTGCCGGATATTTTTTCCACAAACTTCCCTTTGCACTCATGCACACGATATTATTTATTATCTCCACTACAGCGTTTTGGATAACCCATAAAACGCGTGTACACGGTACACGGGACATTTATAACAATATTATATCTGGTACACTGTCAGGTGACAACCGAAATCGCATAACTCGGGGCACGTTCCCTTGCCGTCCCACTACAGATGCAGTTCCTACGCGGGACTGCTTTGCATATAATACTTTGGCCCATCATCATATTAAATCCCTAACATAATGTATACATAATCATAATACGACACCCGTCGACTGGGGGGGTCACAACGGTAATTGTGGTGGCGGTGGTGGTTTTAATCGGATCAAACTTCACGTTATGCTCAACGTACATACGGTCGATTAATTATCGGTGTAATGAAAACGTATTGTGCGCGACGATGGGGACAAAAAAAAACAAACACATGTATATTGTAATTTTATACACATCCGACTTGATGAAGGCGTCTACTGTGGTTTTAACGTTGTAGAACAAACGGCACAGAGAAGCACGTTGACAATAAAGCGACATACGTGCACCGAACGACCAATTGGTTTGACTTGCATCGTCAACACCAGTGTACGTGATACGATTTGATGTTTTATTTTATTTTTTTAACTGCGTGACCGTACTCAACAGACAAGTAACCTCGAGAGCGAGTAATTTTATTATCAATTTTTCTCTTGCGGACACCCGTAGGCTGCGGATGAATCGAATCGGCCGATTACTATCTGGCGTTCGGCAATCCGGAAAAAATCGTAGCCAGCCGCGAGGTCATCATAATGCATAAAAAAACATGTAAACAATATTCGATCAGCTATAATGTTGCGCGTACGTTAAAAAACACGAGAATGCGTGTCGGGATCGGCGCTTATGACGTTTGACGTAACAATATTTTGATATCCCAACGATTGTACGTTTATCGATGCCACCGGAGCAATAGTTGACCCGAAACACAATACTCGTTTTTTATTGTTGTGCGGGAGAGATGTCGGACAACGATAAGCGATGGGTGGACACGTTTTGTCTGTTCTAAGCGTACATAACGTTTATATATATTGATTTACACGGCCTGGAATGACGTTATCTATACAAATAATGATGTGTTTAGATTAGACGTGGGGTCCGTCTAATTATTGTGAACGTTTAACCGCTCAAATCGCCGGTCGGCCGTCTGTGGAGACTTGTACAAATAAAAATTAATCAAAGTAAAGAGAGCTTCATGTTGTAGTGCACCGTTTTTTTAATGTTATTTGTACAACCACAGAACACAAATACTAGTGTTTATTGCCGTTTAAAATAAAATTAGGCGAAACGATGTGTCGGTTTTATAATTACATACCTTGGATGTGTTTATTTCAAATACTTCTGTTCTTCCTACTGGTCATAATGGAATTTATTAAACCGGAATAACTCCAAATGAATATATTTCTTTCGTTTTTTTTGAAAGTATAAAATGACCCATATAAATGATTTTTAAGAGCTATAACTGTCATTTCTACCAATTTTATTATAGTAGTAAAAATCCGAATCAATACCAGAAGTATATCAGCGTGTCCAGTTTAAAACCAGTTGTAAAATGTAGAAAAAAAATGTCCATTCACTAACAGTATTCATATGTTCTATTAGAATTAAAAATACTTGCCAATACAATTTTCGTAGAACTATAACAGGCACTCATTGATTAAAAATCTACCGACATATTAATTAGTGATAACTAATTAACATCTTAATTAATGATTAATATTAAATAAATATAGTTCATGAATATTATTTATACAACTTATAATATGGATTACCAAAAACACCTTTTCATTTATCAATTGTAGTTTAAGAATTTAATACATGCAAAGTTATTAGTAAGATTTTTTTAAGTTTCATCTGGACTAGCGGTTGTAAGAATTAAAAAAAAATTATTTTAGTTGTTTAATAATGTAAAATCATTCACTTGGTAAAATTTAATTTAAATATTTATTCAAATTTAAAACAAAAAATAAAGTTCAGTATAACAGATTGATACAATGATAATTTATATTTCTTTTTAAGGCAAAAAAAATAAACAGAATATTTTAGTAGTTTTTTTAATTTAATTTAAAAAAAATATGGTTTTGTATTAATATATACAAAAATGGAGCTAAATCAAATCAAAAGTTAGCATTACGTAATAATGAGTCTTTATTTTATGACATATTTGCTCGATAACAAAAAAAAAAATCTTCACGTGAATGCTACAAATTTATAATTTTTAATATGAATTTTTACTTTTATCTTTATCGATATAATCAATTTCTGAAAACCATTACAAATTTCACTTCATTAATTTTTTTAAATTATATTTTAAATATTTATCTATTGTGTTCTATAATTTGGCGGTTATGTTTTTAATCATGTTGCTCTAATTAGAAGTTATTAAAAAATTAATATCGTTTTGAAATAAAATTATGAATAATTTATTAGGGTAAGAGTATTACCAGCTATCAATTTCTTGATAAAATTATAGCCATATAATTACAATTGCGGTGGGGTTTTCCTTAATAATTATTACATAACAACGTTATAATGTTATAGTTTTACTTCGATAATAATACAAATCTCAGTCAGTCATAAATATGATTTATAAAAGAAATAGTTAAAATTATGTAAAATTAAATTTTAAAAGTTGAAAAGTTTTTAACTAAAATTATACTCTCATAGCAAATATATAAGTACATTCGTGTTACTTTAATGCAGAAATTTAAGTAATTTGTTTGTAAATTTACCAGTTAATAACGAGTTACATTAGATTATTTTTATACAAGAATTTTTCATATCAGAAAAATCGTTTAATATTATCAGTGTTCTCGAAATGTTCTCAAAATATCATATTAATAGCAATAATACCAATTAAAAGAGTAAAATGATTATTGTTTAGTACACAACATATCAGTTAAGATAGGTTAAGAATTCTCTTCGCCCTTTTCGCCTTCGGTTATAGGTGGTGAAGTTATAATCAAATATTAATAATAAATTCTCAAATATTTTTAAATATTTAAATGTGTAACAACTTCCTTAACCTCTAACCAATTAGACTAATATAAAGGTAACAAATGATCATAAATGGATAACTGATATTAATACATTAAGTATTTGAACTCGAGCCAATATTGAATATTTTTATTTCAATAACAACTTCAATGTTATGGGAAAACGTTTACACGTATACACAAAAAATCTATAATAATAATAAGAGGAGCTCACCCTTCTTTTTTGTCGTCTTTCGTCAATCTTTCAAGCATTTGCACGTCTACCATATCTGTTATCCTTTGTCACCGTAATCACAGACACGTGGAAACATGATAATCGTTTTAGACACTCATAAAAATAAATATAATTTAACGACAATACAAAGACACGTTGAAACAACAAGCAAATCAAAATGTCTACACTAATAATAACTATGATTCAGTAGAGTAATTAGAAAGTGATTGATAAAATAAAAATTCACATGAATTGAAATGCAAACAATTGATGTGTTTTACGTAAAAAATTATTATCAAAAATGATCACGGCGTTCCAAAAAACACGTCCGGCTGTTATCGTCACCTCGTGGACGTTACTTATGAGCGGTCAAGTAACCGATGAACGACACGCAGCGCATACAAATGTACACTGGCACACGATCGGTTGACGACCAAATCGGCTACACAACAAAACTGGTCTTTATCCCCAGCGGTGCACGTGTGTGTGATTCGTGCCCACCACTCTACGACCGACTAAAAACCCCTCCGGGGACGCTACCGATGGATCGGAGGAAGCCGAGGGAGCACAACAACGGTGACGACAATTAAAAAATAGCAACAAAAAAATATATATAGATATATATTATTGTGCGTTCCACCAGCAGTGATGACGCCGACGTGATCCACAAGAGCGGTAGGTATCCTTCCGCCAATGATTTTTATTTTTTTTTGCTTTTAATTTTTCGCCTATTAGGTACCGACGATACAGTTATTACTGTCAGATTACCGAGTGCGGCGAATCTCTCCTCGACGGTTCGCATTTGGATGTGAGCGGATTAACTAGGAGCAAAAAAAAAAAATCAAAATAAATTCGGACATTTCATCTGGAGCAAAGGGTGATTGATTTCCGACCACCCTCTGCGGCCGATTAGGGATTATACCAGCGGGTGATTTTCAAATTCCGCTCTTTCGTTTGTATTGGGGAGGTGATTGGCCTAATGCTCTTGTCAGATTAGCTGATACAAACAATCACCGGTGTGTATATATTAAAAAACTTCTCGTATTGTACTCGCATGCCCAACAGAATTATTACTAGTTACATGCATTACGACAGAATAATTACACGGTAAGGATCAATAGCAAACGCGATTGTACTGCACGACGAGTAAAGCTCAAAGACAAGAAGAATACATAAAAACTTATTGTTTTTTTTTTGAGGGGTATGTCATAAATGACAATGAAAAAGAAAATCCGTTGACAACACGTGACGAGGTCCATAAAAATCATGATTCTTATTGACAAAAGTACACGACCGATGTCTCATTTCAATCAGTAGATTGCAACGATATTAGATTTTACTTTACGACAAAAGGACGTGATAGGCGTTACGCGTGCGAATAAATGATAATAGAAATGAAGTATTACTTATTTCGATTAATAGTTACGTACTATGAAATTAACCTTGCAAATCATTGTTGTAGTGGTCGAATAAAGCAACGCCGAAACGATAAACGTTGCCAAAACTAAAGTTTATCAGTAATAATAGATTATACAAGATGTGTTTGATAAATAACTTTTGATCTTCCGAATATTTTGTTTTTTTTGTTAAATAATGATTGAAGTTTTAGATTACGTATAAACCATAGTTTTTATCATTTATCTCTAAAAGTAAAAAAGATTTTTTAAAAATTTGTTGCAATATCAAAATAACCATATTTTGTAAGAAAAATGGATCGATAACGACTTTAGGATAAGTACTTAATATTTTACCATCATTTTAATACGTAGAGTAGATAAGTAGCGCGAGTGGAGGTGCATTATAAAAATACACCAACACGAGCTGTACTCGCCAAGTATCAACATTTTTTGCAAGAAAAGGAAATTGGATATTTTGAAAATTTAATAAAATGTAAAAATCATTTTTTTTATTTGAAATAAATGATAAACAGAATTCTTATAACATAGTCCAAAACTGTAAAAATTACTATAAAATAATAGTAACGCAAATATTGTGTAGGTCAAAAGTTATTTATTCGATTTGTCATTACAATTTGGACCACTGTGTTTACGTAGTCATTTCTTAGTCCGATAATTTTGCACACAATATTTAATTAAACTTGCTTTTCGTTTTCTGACGGATATCTTTACACTTGGGTGTGTTATTGTCAATCCGTTGGTACAAAACAATGTTACGAGATAGGAGGCGGGTTTACACATGTTACCTACTATGTTCATTCATAATCCCACGCAGAAGTAACAGCCAACATTGTTTAGGTCAATGTTTGCAGGTTTTGAATAATAACTATTAATTATGAGCTATTCACAGCGGTATCCTGAAATTAATATATAATTGCGTTTAATCAATGAATTGGGCACCTGTATTCAAATAATAATAGTGTATTGTAAGTGACAAATTATTACTCATATTACTCCACGCTGCTAATGGCAACGCTTGTTAACGTATTCAGCCTACGCTTTATTTTTATTACACAACTTTTTCAGTTATCTTGTAATAACTTGATTATATGGTTAATCAATAATAGCTATTTTATTGCAAAAAATATAAAAATGAATTTTATAGGATTAACCTTACCATTTTTAATTTTTACCATTAAACCCAGAAATTTAAGATATGTAAAAAGATATTTTTTGTCTTTTGTAATTTACAGTACGAAATTACTGGTTTTTTTTTATGCATGCAGTAGCTAACGGTCAGTCTTTAGGAAAAAGTTAAAAAGAAATAATTTTTAATACGCTTTTATTAGTTTCACATGTATGTTGTATGTTGTATGTAACTTTCCAAACGCCACGCGTTATCGCATATTCCGTTGTCTAGACTAGACTGTTATACGCATTCACCCCTCCCCACGCCTCGCTCACAATACGACGGTACACTATTCCTATAAAAATTTATTTTTAGTTATCGTACCCGTACACGCGTGCTTGTCATCAATATTATATATATGTAAACAAATTTTTATTTTGACTGACCAATAACGCCCGCGTCTAATGCGCCTTACGTATATATATATATATTCCTACCGCCGTTTATACCTCGGGTATAACGTTAGTCCGACCCGCCCGGCCATAAAACACAGCTATACTTAGTGCATGATACTTTTACGTAGTTAAGTCGCATTATTTGTATAAATATATATATTCTAATTACTATTAAAATTAATATATTAACACGATTTATTCTAATTAAGAGATATAAAGTATTCATTCCGATTACGAGGGATGATTTCCGTATCGTCATTTTTCGTCACTACCTCCACGTTCCGGGAGTGAGTAATTTACGCGCCTGCTGCTTTCCTTGGATGTGGTAGCCGTTTCTCAGACTCCCTCCCCAGAATCGAACCCTGATTTCCCGTTACCCGTAACAACCATGATATTGATAGTAACTACTATCATAACATGAAACTAAAAAGTAAAAAATAAATATAGTTTAAAAAACTAAAAAAACACGCTTTTAAAGTACATCGAACTAAAAAGTTAAAAATAATTTTTAAAATAATTATGAACAAAAAATACTAGTATTATTGTGATAAAAGCGTGGGTGCTTTGTGCCATATTTTTCGTATATTGAGCGCCCCACGCTTTTATCACAATAATACTAGTATTTTTTGTTCATAATTATTTTAAAAATTATTTTTAACTTTTTAGTTCGATGTACTTTAAAAGCGTGTTTTTTTAGTTTTTTAAACTATATTTATTTTACATTAGATGCCGACTTTTGTACTACATTAACCTTTCTTATTATTATTATTTTTAAAACAATAACAAAAGTAACCTTTGAAAAAATCTAAACTTCGTGCAATTAGTAAGTCGATTGAGATTAAAAAAAAATTGTGTTAAAATTGCTATACGCATCAACGTTATCTAAATAAAAAAAAAAATTTAGTATTTTTAAAAATATTTCTACAATACATTTAGAGGAATAAACATATAAACGATACATTATTACTCATGCCTTACATAATTAATTGTTTACTAGTTAATATATAGTTAATTATTTAAATAGTTAAATACATAATTCAATAACTACTTTTAACAAACGATATTTGTATTTGACATTCAGTGTGGAAAACAATTTTCAAGTTTGATATTTGTGATTTACTTAACGTTTTTAGTTATGCTTTCGTGTGTTAACTGAATTTATTAACGAGTTTCGAGTAAATAATTAGATTTTTAATGACAAGTTCTAAAATTCAAATTAACAACTAACTGATTGTAATTTAAATATTAAAACAATTGTAATGTATGTAGTGTAAAACAAGTTGGTAATTCTATGCAACAATGTCGTGCACAATATTATTTTCTTATCAGCAGAAATAACCAGTTTAATATTTTTCAATATGCGTTCTATTAATCGATGTTAGAAGAGTTATCGCAAAATCCAAACGTTCCCATGAATCCTATAAAATTTATAACGGTTTTATTGATTTATGTACATATAATATAATGATAACATTTTATCTATAGATAACATTTTATCGTAGCAAAGTACGAAACCATTGTAATTTCATTTGACAATAAATTCTTAATACATTTTCCACTTTTTCCGGATTTGCATTTTTAGTCATGACACGCTCTTAATATCATTATAAGTTTATCATTTTAAAATATTAAGAATGTTTATTTTACATAATGGGGAATTAGGTTTGTGTCAGTGGATACATATTTTAAACACGTCATTTTGAATATGTTTTGAAATAAAAAGTTTTCGAAAAAAATAAGCCTTATTTAAAAGAAGATAAAAATATTGAAGAAGAGTAAACTTGTATTGCTGTTTTCCGAAATGGATTACAGCCGCTAGCGATGTCTGAACAAGGTGTATTTTTTTTTCTATAGCGTAGTTGAATAATGAAGATTAAACTAAGTAGAGTTGACATGATCATGACACATTTTAATGTTAATCGTGTAAGAGTCTTGTTCGACGCACTACAATTTCATAATTATTGTTCTCAACACGAAGATTTCTAATCGCATGGAAATAAATTGAACAATCAAACGATAAAATAATAACTCCACAGAATTATATTATTATTTCCCAATTGAAATGAAATGAACTTGTCTTTTCATTAACAATATGTTATAAATGATGACATTGGAAGCCAAAATAAAAAAAAAAAAATCATTGTAAATTTCAGCTTTTTACTTCATCTGTAAATATTTAATCCCTCTAATAAAATGATCATGTTTAGATACAAAATCATACAATGAACTAATTGTTAACATTAAGTAAGTACAAATTAACGTGTGGCTTGATACAATAGTTAATAACAACACTTTAATATTCTTTGATCGTGATGGACTCTATTGCTTATAATTCTGGAAGTGGCATTGTTAACAGCACTGTAATATACGGATGTACTAATGATACGGGTGAAAATGTTTTAACAATTTTCACTCGTTATTCAAGACACTATTTAATAACAAACTGAATCAT